AGCAAAACCTTTAACCAAGGCTCGTGATTGGCTGTTCGCCAGTGATGTCACACATTCATGTGCACACCTCCACAAACTCAGGATCAAAGCCTGAGTTGACAAAGAAAGCTGATGATCAGCATCATGGTACCAACAAAGCCGGATTGGAGTGGTTTGGTTTTGTCAACTCGAAACTAATCCTGTAACTCTGAATTTGTTCATCTACCATCATGGTACAGGCCCCTGATCTGTTAAAGTTGATCCTAATCGTGTAAAATGCAAACACCAGGGACTCCAGAGCAAAACTTAAGTTGAAAAACATTGGTTCCTACAATGAAACACTTAAATTATATTTTTACTTGTTAAATTTCAGAAGCGATCGGCGCTTCAATTCATTGAGTGTGTAGAATAGATTATTATTGTACCTTTTAACAACGATTACTGTCATTATGAAACTATCCTTTACTATATACTGTAGACTACGACGATTGACGGTATACAAACTACAGTGTGTCTTAATATCTTTTTGTATTTAGTATTGTTTATATTTAAGTTTGTAAGAATATTTCTGTCTGTTTTGGTAATCGAGTATTAGATTTTTTTTTAGACCTAACTGTACAATAGCTATAAAAATACATGTATAATAACAATGGAGCATGAATAAATGATCAAAAGCAAGTAATCTTACTGTTTTAATTAACAATACGGTTAATTTACATTATGTAATAGTATATATGTGCATATATGTTGCAACATGCCACCCAAAACTCTCTCTTACTTATTTTAGTAAAACATTAAAATATTTTTTAGACAAATCATTGATTTATTACAGCAAAACACTGTGAATATCTTTATTTATGTAATTCCATATGAGCAACCAGTTGCAGACTGAAGTCTGACAAAAAAACTAAAATGCACAATGTTTATTCAATATCTGTTTGAATGTTGATATTAGTGTTTCTTTTGCTGTAGTGTGTGCAGGCTATGGAGGAATTGTGCACGCAGAGTCCTGAGGACGCAGCAGAGACTGACCTGGCTCTCTGCCTCTGGCTCATCCATATACGAGGAGCATGTTTTGCTTAGAACTATGGCAGAAGACTTGGAGGTCTGATGGTCATTGCTGCTTTTTTTTAACAGAGAAGTTAAAGTTCTTATAAACTCTAGAAATGACAAGCATATTCTTTACAGATTTTTGAAATGTCTGTCTTTTCTCTGACTCCCTGCAGAAGATCTATCTGCTGCCCCAGACAGCTCTCCTAATGGTGGATGGGGAAAACTTCAGTTGGCCTTTTAGTTACAGACACAAAAAGGGTAAGTTACATGATTACTTGTATTTTAAAAAGCCCTGTCGGTCATGATGAGGAGATTCACCCGTTCTCTTCCATCCATTCTTGCTACAGCCAGGAAGTGTGAGGATGAAGTAGAGTCAGATCCTGTTGAGAAGCTGAGATGCTTACTGCCTAGCACTTGTGATGTAGTAGGCATTGTCGCATCAGGAATTGTGGGTAAGACTAATTGTCCCTCTTTCCCTGTATTCTGCCATTACTCTGTTTGTTGGCAATGTCAGTGCTGCAGTGTAACTGTAATTTCTTACGCTGTGTGCTACAGTGACCCCCAGTGGTTTACCCAGCAGCCCCCCAGAAGAGCACGAAGATGGTGAAGCTGGCTTCAGTCTGCTTTTCCCTGCCATGGATGGGGTCACCATCCGGCCTTTTCACTTCTGCAAAAAGAGCCTCAGTGAATCGGCAATGGAGGAAGCAGGTGAGTTGTTTAGATTGTAGCAACTGGTGCAATTGCGTTTTCTTTTTTCTTTTCAAAGACACATCTTTTCACCAAGACAGTGAATATAAATATATAAGTATATTGTATATACATTTTATATATATATAAAGTGTTTATATGATCAGAAATACAGTAAAAAGAATATTGTTAAATATTATTGCAACGTAAAATAACTGTTTTCTAAATTAATATATTTTAAAATGTAATTTATTCCTGTCATTGCAAAGCTGAATTTTCAGCAGCCATTACTTCAGTGCCACATGATCCTTCAGAAATCTGATTTTGTCTTCATGAAACATTTCTTATTATCAGTGTTTAAAACAGTTGTGCTGCTTCATATTTTTGTGGAAACCTTGATACTTTTGTTTCAGGATTCTTAAAATAGACAGTTTAAAAGCACATTTTGAATTTGAAATAGAATCTTTTGTAATATTAATGTCTTTTTGATCAATTTAAAGAGATAGTTCACCCAAAAATGAAAATTGTCATCATTTACTCAACCTCATTCCATTCCAAACCTGTATGAATTTCTTTCTTCAGCTTAACACAAAAGAAGATATTTTGAAGAATGTTGGTAACCAAACAGTTGATGGTACCCATTGACTTCCATAGTATATTTTCCATACGATGGAAGTCAGTGGGTACCGTCAAATGCTTGGTTCAAGATATCTTCAAAATAGCATTCTTCAAAATATCTTTATTTGTTCTTAACAGAAGAAAGAAAATTTGTAAAAAAAAATTGTCAGTAATATAGGTTTGGAACGACATGAGGGTCCGTAAATGATGACAGAATATTTATTTTTGGATGAACTATTCCTGTACTCAATCTTTGCTGAACAAAAGTATCAGTTACAATAATAATAAGTCTTACTAACCCCAAACTTTTGAATGGTAGTGTATATAGACATTGGTTTGGTTGGATGGTAAGTCATGTCAAAATACTCTGTATTTGATTTTCAGGGTTGATCAATAATCCTTATCTAAAGGTGGTGCTGATGTTTGACTATGAGACCTGGAAAGCTGGAGGTGGGCGCTTTCTTAAAAAGCTACTGGAACCTCTTTCTCAAAATAATGTACTTATTGTTGGAGGACAAGTTGAGAGGGCCTTTTCCAATAACACAACCTGGTAAGTAAAGAAAGTTCTTGATTTTAGATGAGTCAAGTTAGTTCCTGTATTTTTTGTCATGTTGTATGTAGATGGTTTATGGTCAAGACTTCATACGTCCTCTTTCCTATATTTTTGTCCAATTTTTTCCCCCTCATCTGCCCACTATGTGAATAAGAGATCTATTCTGCATGATTTAACACTGTGCCTTTCTACATCATGATAATTTCTAATTTAACATTTTCTCATTGTCACATACAGGAATATATATTTCTCACCCCATTTCCTCTACTGTCTCAGACATTATTACAAATATAATCTTCATTAGTAAGGTTCAAATGTGTTCTGTCTCTTTGCAGCTGTTCTCTAGGTTCTTTTGGTGCAGTTGGACTGACCTTCAGTGGCTCCAAGATCCAGGGTGCCTCAGTGCTGGTGGACCAGGACGTAAGCAGCCCGAAAGCAGCAGAGGCCACTATCCAGCGGCTGAAGGCTGCTAATATCCCAGAGAGAAACACCATGGGCTTCATGTTTGCCTGTGTGGGCCGTGGCCACAACAGCTACAATAACCAGCGTAACGTGGAGGCCAGCGCTTTCCGGAAGATCTTCTCCAACATTCCACTCCTGGGATTCTTTGGCAATGGGGAGATTGGCTGCGACCGTATTGTCAAAGAGAACTATACATTGAGCGAGACAGATGCTGATGGACTACAACACTCTTTTACTACAGTCATGAGTCTGGTGCATTTTGGCTAACACAAACTCAAAACTGAGACCGTTGTCACGGCAAATGACTAGGAATCCCCTTGTTAACTTGGTCTTTCAGGACAGATGCCGGCTGCTTGTTTAAGTTAACAGAGCAGGTCCGATGGTGATCAGGTATAATACTCCTAGGTTCTTTCCTTTTGACTTTTTTTTTTTTTTTTTTAAATCAGGATGTCAGTGGGACATTCAGCATTAAAAAACAACAAAAACAATTAGGGAAGTGAAAACCGTGGGTACAATTTTGAAAGCATGTGAAATCTGATGTCTGAAAACACTGTCGTGTTCTCTTACACCTTGTTTGGAAAGGTCATTACTTACAGAACGGTTCTGAAGAACAATTAGGATTTAGTTTGAATGGCATGGTGCTAAACCTTGACCTTTGCCTTCAGTTTATACATAAAACTTTTTCATTTTGTATGTGTAGAGCACAGCTTAAATCTGTCAACCGTTCAGTTTTCTTGTGGGCTGTATGGCTCTCTCAGGCCTTATATACAAATCGTTTGTAAAATTCAGGCACTTTTGAAAAAAATGAAAAGGTAATTGTGAAGGAATGGCTAATGATGTGGCCTTTCATCAACCTTGGTACAGCTTATGGGACTTTGGTGGGAATTCCGCTATCTTCACTTCTGATCTTACATGTTCAATAGCAAGTGCTAGAAAACTGCAGGAAGAGTATTCACAATGAAAGACATATCTGGCACATATCTATATACTGTAACAATTGACTTGCTTGCATCTTTTAGTGTCCAGATTGGAATAATAAAGGACAGAAGCGGAAAAAGTGGAATTTCTTTGTAATATATCATTGTATTTACTCTGCCTGTCCCAATCAAAATCCAGTTTAATTCCAACTGGGTAATCCTCCATTTCAATATTCATCAGTTCAGTTGAGTTCTTCTTAAAGGTTAATCATTTATTCTGTTCACTAGCTAAATAACACATTTTGTTGATCACAGATAAGTGAAGTCTCAAAGGGCTATTTGCCTGCATTGTGGAGATATATATTTGCTGCAGTATTTAGAAGGTTGATTTAAACTGTTTTTGCCAAATCTTTTTTTCCTAACTTTGTTCGGATCATATATATATAATACTTTGCTTTAAGGAAAGTAAGTTTTACTACTGTCACATTTTTATGGCAATGTGTTGGTTTTTCTTCATCTGCTGCTGGGTCGTGCAGATATCAGCCCATGAGGTCTGCATGTATATAATAAAATCAATGGTGTCATCTGTTGATCAGTGTGGTGCAGTCCATACCCTTTTTACATTTCCAGGTGTATATGCGTGGAAGTAAACTATTCCATGGAAGACCACGGAAAATTGAACTTTTGAGTTCCTATTTATTCCAACAGCAAAATAAATAATAAAATAAACTATTGTGTTTTCATAACTTTCTAAGATAGGAAACAAATATTGAGAAATGATCTATGGCAGCCGGAAGAGAGAAAGATGTCAAATTTAGGCACCCTATCTCTCCAGTGTTTACAACATTTTGTAATGTATTGCCAGGACAATATAACTCGCAGTATAGTGTTGCAAATGAACTTGATTTAAAATGAAAATATAAAAAAAGAACTTGATTGACACTATTAATTATTGCAGTCTGTGAAAACGGTCCAAGAATTCATCGATGCGTTCTGTCTTGTTTCTCCAGTAGATGGCTCTCTCGTGCAACAGCAGTGTTTCTTGAAAGCAATCAGTGGAGTTATTTGGTAATTCCAGTCAAAATGATCTAGAAATAAAATCTAAATACCAATTAAATTGATAATTCACTTAAATCTTTTAAAGTCTAAAGCCCAAATAAATCGGATCATGTACTGTTAAATTAGTGTTGAGCGTGATAAAGTAAGGCATAGATATTAGACGCAGGGCGATCCCTTACCAAAAAGAAGTATACTTCAAGTTTATTTTATCAAGTATACTTAAGTAAGGTTCAAGTATATTTTTAAGTATACTTTATGTAGAAAGTATACAGGTGCATATCAATAAATTAGAATGGTGTGGAAAAGTTCATTTATTTCAGTAATTCAACTCAAATTGTGAAACTCGTGTGTTAAATAAATTCAATGCACACAGACTGAAGTAGTTTAAGTCTTTGGTTCTTTTAATTGTGATGATTTTGGCTCACATTTAACAAAAACCCACCAATTCACTATCTCAACAAATTAGAATAAATTATGAAGAATTGAAGTATGTTCATTTACTGTACATGTACTCAATACTTGGTAGGGGCTCCTTTTGCTTTAATTACTGCCTCAATTCGGCGTGGCATGGAGGTGATCAGTTTGTGGCACTGCTGAGGTGGTATGGAAGCCCAGGTTTCTTTGACAGTGGCCTTCAGCTCATCTGCATTTTTTGGTCTCTTGTTTCTCATTTTCCTCTTGACAATACACCATAGATTCTCTATGGGGTTCAGGGCTGGTGAGTTTGCTGGCCAGTCAAGCACACCCAAAGACTTAAACTACTTCAGTCTGTGTGCATTGAATTTATTTAATACACGAGTTTCACAATTTGAGTTGAATTACTGAAATAAATGAACTTTTCCACGACATTCTAATTTATTGAGATGCACCTGTACAAATATCAGTGTACTAGTAGTATACTTGTAAGTGTATACTATATATTTAGTGTATACTAAATGACTATACTAAAAGTGAACTTATAGGTGTACTGATAGTTTACTAATTAAATACTTGTAGTAGCATTTTTAGTACACTGTTCTAGCTTCATGCATTCTTTTTTTAAACACTTGAATGTGGGTAAGTTTCATAAATAAAAAATAAAGAAATAAACATTTTGAAAAAAAAAGTGGAACAAAAAGACTATGAATTGGATTCAAAATGATAATCAAAACGTAGATAGAGTCAATCAACACCCCAAAGCTTGACAGTCATTATTACCTCTTCATTGGTCGACATTTTATTCCATAACGTTACACAGTTTTGATGCTGTTTTATGTCTGATGATAGTATTAGATTACATATGGAAGCGTCTGTTGTTTCGGTTTCTTCTTCACTTGTGTTTTTTGGATATGCTATACAGAAGATATGTACTAGCGCCCCCTACAGTATAACAATGAATACATGGATTCTAGGAGCACAAATATAGCTCAAATATATTTAGACTTTTTCTAAGTATAAGTCAAGTATACTTAAATTTAATTTAAAGTATATTTCTGTGAAGTACATAAAGCCCATTTCTGAGAAGTACATAAAAAGTAGACTAAAAGTATACTTTCCTATTTTTAGTTTAAAAGAAGTATACTAATAGCACACTTGAATAAACTTCTTTTTCGCAAGG